TCACTGTGCCTATCTGTACTACCTTAAAGAAAAGGTTAGGAAGGAAACTTACATCAGTAGTAGAAAGTGACAACAGTGTAATTTCTTGAAAAAATGTTTTAAGAGAAAGATTTTATAAATTTCAACCTACAGTAATATTAACTGTTCCGTCAACAAATGCCAAATGTTTCTTATATTGAAATGGCTAATCTCACCATTAACGTTATTCAGAGATTGAACTCTGAACTTCAAGAAACAAGATTAACTTGGTTTGCAAGACCCAGTTATGTTCATCTGCTAGAAGTTTGTAATCATGATTACATTGGGGGATATGAATTTTAGAAGTCTTAAACTTCCCATATTCCAAGTTAAGGTTCTCATGATGATTTGGCTTTTTGATTAGAGTATAAAAACAAAAACTAATTTGGGTTTGCTTTGTGGTTAAGAGAGTTGAGTATTTCATACCAATGTCAATGGCTAGTGTTCAAGCCAGTGTCAATTGCTGGTGTGTATTTTGTACCAGTGTCTTTCTTTTCAAGACATTTGAACTCACACCTCTTCCTCTCAGCTGTCCTTTTTACTTTAACGATCCCACGTCCGTCCTCATTCAAGCCGGGGTCTACCTCATCAATGGAATAAACTTTGAGGACTTCAAAGGGCTTGATCATAACTTTATTTTACCATCGGTACATTGGGATTGATACTTAAGAGAATTATGATATTCTGAATCCAGAAATTTTGCTTTCTCTTGTTGCTGCCTTCTCAGCCAGCCTATCCAGTGTCCAATCACCATGGCTGATTGATGAGTTGATCGCTTTGATCCAAGCCTTGCCTTATCTCACATTGTGTTTGGTTTTGATCATAAGGCTGGCAAAGTTCGAATCATCGATGGAAAATGTCACATTGAGTTGGTCCAGGCAAAGTGAAGACACAAATGAGAAAAAATATAATTTGAGTAAAAGAAAATGTCTATATCTACAAACTTTGTACAGGAGTTGGTGAATTCTTGATATTAAAAATTATTAGTTCTTCATGCAGCAAAATATTGACCCTTCCTGTTTCGTAAGTTAAACGCAACACTTTGGTTGGTTTAGCTAAGTCTGAACAAGACTTCTGTCACAAGTCTTATGTCAGAGGTTTATTACAGGCAGGAAGTTCCATGAGGTTGTCTCTCTATCAGCCACTTCGATCTCCAGTCTACATGGACATTCACCTGAAATTGGCACAGCCTGGGGTTCTGGTGATCACCCTAATTGCCAACAAGAGCACATTTTTGTCTGGCTCCAAGAAACAAATTACGTGTCCATTTTTGGGGAGATCCCCTCTTCCATGAATAGTGGTTGCAGGATATTGGTCCGCCCTAACTTTTTCTTTCTCATCTTAGCACCTCTCACCAACACTTCCCAAGGGGCGTGGGCAATTCCTCTGGCTTCCTTGATATTTCACCTGCATCTGTCACCTTCGCTACCCTTCAACCAATCTGGCTCTCAACCACTTGGCATGGCCTAATTTATGGTCATTAATTAAAATTATCATTTGAAATTTTGAGTAAGTGAAATTTTCTCAGCCTGATTTTGCTTAAAAATTTACCAAGTGGTTCCTTCGGCCAGCCATTCTCCCATCTCTGCCAGGGTCATTGTACTCCAAGCACCTTAGGTTACACAAAGAAAGCCTATTCCTCTGATTGAATCTTATCCGTCCTACTTATATTGTGTTTCTTTGGTGTTTTCTCGAGCTGCTTCATTAATCAGCTGTCAGCTTCAAGAGCTTTCCTCATGATAATATCTCTTTCTTTAAGTAATTTTTCTGGTTTTAGAGAATTAAGCTTTACTTTTGGAAAAAGAAAAATCTCCCTTCTTTCTCTCAGTCTGTCCATCATTCTGTCTGTTAACCCTTCTCACCTCGTTCAGAACTATGTTTTTGATTTAACCCCTTTCATTCCATTTGCCAGTGTCAAATAGTGTCATGCCCTTACTGACTGGGTTGGTCATTTATACGGATGACAAAGAGGAAGCAGGGATTAGGGAATTGGATAAGAAATTGTTGGAGAAATTTAAATAGAAATTGACAGCTTATTTTCTTCTTTCAGACACGAGACAGAATTGCAGAAATGGTCAGCAAGAACAAGGAACTGACCAAAAAGCCTATTGTATTTTCTGAAGAAAGCAGTGATGAGAGTGACAGCAGTGAAGAAGAAGAAGAAGAAGAAAGACCTATCAGAACCCTGACCAATTCCAGTAATTCTTGGATGAGTCAAAAGAATGCAGCGACAAAGACGCCTGTTCGGATACAGGTTAATCCCAAAATAATATCGGTAAACAAACCACAGGAACCTCTTGTGGAGGCTGATAATGTTGAATTGATCACAGAAGAAGTGATGCCGACAAGTCTGCGAGAAGCAATGCCAGGAAAGAAGACAGTGGAAGCACCAGCAGTGCCAGAAAATGAATCTTATGTTGATGCTGGTCAAGTGCTGAGTGCTGGTAACAACATCTCTACCAGCATGCCGATGCTTTTGGTGAATGAAGAATCAGAAGACGAGGACAATGATGATGATGATAAGGAGCAAATGGCTTTAAGTCAAGCTTTTGCTGATGATGATGTTGTGCAAGCTTTTTCAGAAGAGAAACGAAAAACTGTAAATGCTGAAAATCCCTCAGATCTTGATCTTGTCCAGCCTGGATGGGGTTCATGGTGTGGAAATGGCTTGACTGTCCCAAAATGGAAAAGGAAAAGGCAAGTTTTTTTTTTTTTGCATTGTGTTGGTAATTATCAAGTACTGAGAGGTATTTATTTTTTTTCTATTTTTGTACCCCTTTAGTTTGAAAATAGACTTAAATAGAGAGGATGTCCTTTTATTTTTTGGAGACCCTTTCAGACAACACTTTATCAAAAAGAAGATCATTGGCATGTAGAACAAAATACTCAATGACAGACTTGTAAATAGCGAATGAGGAGGGAAAATTGAAACAATTAAAATAGATTTTAATTGTTAACAAATTAACGACTGAAAACAAAATAAAAGGTTCCAAAAAGAGTATAAAATAGAAAAAAATTTACTCATATTCGCTCGATCAAACGTAAGGAAAGAATGAAGTGTTCCTTTTGCTTACATAGGCTTGACTGATGAAATTTATAGAATGATTCCGGCCTCTTTCTGATCTCTTTTCAACTCCTAATGTTTCTGACTCATTCAAGTTTTCAAATTTCTAACGAAATTTGGAATTCAGTTTAGATAATAAACTTATGGTGTCTTTTAACATTGTCAGTTTGTATACAAATGTGCCTCTTAAGGACACTATTATGTTTTGATGCTTTTTATAGGGGTCCTTCAGGCCTTGCTAGCATTCCTGAAAATATATATAATCATAAATTCAATCCTTGGCAAAAAATGATAAGTAAAAGTGTGCTTAATACAATTTTCATAAAACAAAAATGTAGGGCAACTTAAGATATAAAATATCCAAAACTCTGCCAGTACAATTATGAATAGGACTTTTGGGACAAAACAATGACTTGTTGTCTGAATAATCCATATTGGCAGAAACCATGGTTGCAAGAAGGTCAGTGTGTCAGGAACACACAAATATATCTAGGCATATATACATATATTATTTTATATATATATATATATATATATATATATATATATTCAACTCTCCTGTCGTATTGGATGTCTGAGGGTCAAGCAGCTCAGATCTTAGGAACCGACACCCCAACACCAACACATGTGATTTGATTATAGTAGTGAAAATTTTGTGAAAAACCATCCACGCTTTTTGAAGGGCTGAATACAAAGACCTGGTGCACTACATGCCACAAGGTTCCCAGACGACTCTCTGCAGGTTTTGAATTCAGAGTTGTCTTTCTCCTAGACCAGTTGCCATCCAAGGCTATAGAACCCAGTCTGTCCTGCTATTTACCCATAGCTGGAGGGAGAAGAGGAGTCATATCTTTCCAAAGGGTATTAGCACATAAGTGAATATAATGTATTCGAACTTAGCTCTCTGATTCCTCAATCCAAGCTGCTATCCATTACTCCTCCATGCCCCCCTCCCTCCCCCTCCCTCTCTCCCTCCCTCCCTCCCTCTCCCCCCCCCCTCTCCCTCTCCCTCCCCCCCCTCTCTCCCCCCTCTCTCTCTCTACACCTTGTGCCTGTATGTATTTACATACATGCACACCCATTGATTTATAATTCCCACTTACCCTTGGATTTCAAGGCATTTTCCGCACACACAGTTTTGTCTTTCTTTCATTCTAAACTGAGGAAGCCAAAGAGAGAGAACATACTCTCTGTAGCAAAACATGTCAATAATAAATTTTACTCTTAACCCTGTCACATCATCATCGTCTTCACTCTTGTTTTGGATACTATTATATATCACACATATATATATATATATATATATATATATATATATATATATATATATATATATATATAGTTCCTTTATCTGCTTTCTTGTTTGTGTTAATTAGACTTCTATTGGAGATTTTAAAATACCTAATATTTGTTACTGAGATGAGGAATTATCCTTATTCTTTTCATTCAAGCTAATGACCTCCTCATTCAACTAAAAGAGAAGTGATGGTAGAGAATAAAAGCTTCAACAGTCGCAAGGAAGAGAAATGGCAGGCAGAGGAAGACATGATAGTAAACATGGCAGCAGCAGGCAGGCAATATTAGGTTGAAGGCTCCAAAGCTCTAGATTCTGGATTGTCCCATGGGTCAGTAGCCTACAGGATTAAAATGTTGGTTTGTAAATTTGGTGGTATAGAAATTGTGGATTCAATCCTTAGGCTGGGTAATATGGACTTAGACGTAGTTGAAACAAGGTGACTAATAAGTGAGCAGTCATAAATTAGAACAAGGCAAGATATCTCAAGGCCAGGACAGCAGCAGACAAGGAAAATTTAGACTAAAAGTGATCAGTTTGAAATTCTCTGAATGTTAGGAGGAGAAGGTCGTTGTGATGACAAAGATGAAGACATTAGACTGAATGTAAATATTTGTTCTTTTCACTTACTGAACATTTTTCATGTTTGAGAAGCAGCTCTGAATCTTTGCCAACAGATTTCAATCTTGGAAAACAATCATGTACAAAATTCCTGCACTACCCTAGCAATTATTTATTTATTTTCTTTTTAATATTTAGATTTAAGTGTGTACAAAATATTTTAAATGACTTGTAACTAAAACCAAAATTAAGCTTTTCATCATAAAAGTAAAATCATGAAAGGTGGTGTTTTTATTTTTACTAAAATAAATTCACTGCTTCAGACTTGTACTGTACTGCCAAATTTGATGGAGTTTTCATTGGCTGATGTTACTTTTAGGTTTACCATTAAAGCTAACCGTAAAAGACGTAAAGACGACCGTTTGGGCCATGTCATCATAAATGAGAAAAAAGACAAGGTTATTTCAGCATACCAGGTAAGAAGAATCTCTAAAATGAATCTTCTCTTTTTTTATTTTCTCTCTAGTTACCATTTTATATTTTCTTGTTGTTAAGAGAATATCTGACAGAGTTGAAGAATATTTTTTTTAGTTAAATATTCAGATTTGTCACTTAATACTGAATCATTTCCTACAATAAAATTTCATTGAAATACCCACTTACTACAAATATCTGATTTGGCTGTGTGTAAAACATTGATTGCAAAGTTAAAAAAAAATCTCTGTAGAATCAGAAATAAATAATTTCTATAAATGTTACTTAATAAAGAACCTGAAAGAATGAGATTTAATGATGCAGACAATTTTATGTCGAAGAGAAGCTGTAATAGATTTTAAGTTAAAACAAAAAAATCTTTGACTTTAGAAAATTAAAAAAAGTAATTAAATTCTTTCACAATTTTTATTATTCTATTGTTATAATTGTTCTATTTTATTATTAGTTATTGTTGTTTATCTCTTATTGTGCCTAATAAGATCTACGGTAAGAACGAATCTTCTATCCATCATATAACTTTTATTAGTATATTGCATTAATTATTAATCTTTTGAACTTTATCATATACATTTGATAGGAAGAGAAAAAAATTGTTTATAAGATAGAGCATAATACTATCGGGGGGGGGGGGTCTAGTAAATTCTACCAAAGGAAGAATTACAAGTAGTGAAACTTTAAAATAATTTTTTATTTAATTTCTTTTTTAAAAGATATTTGTGGCATAAAATTCTTCTCTGATCTTAAAATCTTCCATAGGAAAAAAAAAAAAAGAAAAAGAGATGCAAGGGAATTTTTAATTCACCAAAATTTTGAATTTTTGTCTGGATTTTCCGCAGGAATATCCTCACCTTGTGGCCATGGGAATTGTTAATTTCAAAGTGTTTTTTGCTTATAAGCTACCATTATTTATTTACTTTTACAAAGTGCTATTTAGATTGTTTTGACTATTACCATATTGACTGGAAAATACAAAAAACTTAAGGAATAAGCACATAAAAATCACCTAAGCCGGCCAAGCAAGGAAATGAATATAATATTGGAACTATTAATACAGTGCTAGAGAAAAGCAATAATAACAACAAAATTGCAATATTAGCTCTGGTAAAAAAATGCATTAAGTTTATAAGGCCCATACACTGATGTTTCAATGACACATGGCATGGTGGATAAAAGTGTTGGCTGGATCCAGTGACCCAAGAGTTGTGAGTTCAATACCTGATTCAGTTAAAAGGAGAGGCATGGCACATGTAACTAGAACAATCTACACTGGTGGACGAAATAAAGGGTTCAGTTTGAAATTCCAATCAGTTGAAGAAGGCCGGAGTGTATGATGACAGAAACATCATCAATAAAGATGAGGACAACAGTCCTAATAATGTAAATAATTACAATATCTCATCTCAGAAATATAGACAGATACTAAATTGAAGTTGTTCAGAAATAGAAAAAGGTAAATTGGAGTCTTGGCTGATAATCAAACTCACTACAGTAATGTTATAGAGTAGTTTCACAGTGGAGGCTTGTATTTCACTAAGTTGGTCCTAAAAAGGTTCGACGTACAAAACGTTAGGAACTTGTTATAATAGTTAATGACACAGCAATCTAGTTGTGGTGGTTGATACTTTAATGTCCGACTCACCAACTCACTGAGCGACTTCGCAACTACTACTACTAATTATATGTGGGAGAGTCTATTAACAATAGAATAGGTATGTTCCAGTATAACAGTAATACAACAGACAGTCTTGTTAACCATTATGATACCTTGATTGTACCATGACATGATACCTTGATTGTACTCTGGTAAGCTTAGTGATTAAGCCAAAAAGTATTCATGATACTAATGTGATAGAATGTAAATTTTGGTTTCTCTTTTTAGGTGAAAGAAGTTCCCTTCCCCTTCACAGATGCCAAAACTTTTGCTCGGAGCATAAGGGCACCAATTGGCAAAGAATGGAACTCCCAGATTGCACTTAATAAACTAACCGAACCAAAAGTGACCACAAAATCTGGGACAATCATTAAACCAATTGACAAAAGTGTCTTGCTCAAAAAAGACAAAGAATAGTAATAAATTTATTTTTATAATAATGACTTTCCTTTTTTTAATTATTAAACTATAAGAAAAATTTTGTTTGAGATTTAAAAAAAAAAAAAATTATCTTTGGTTGAGTAATGAGTAATTTCTGTTTTTGGTAGTCTCATTCAAAAGCTGAAACTATATGACCCAAACTTTTTTATTTATTATATATATATATATATATATATATATATATATATATTCAAACATGTATTGTTAAATATAAATGACAACATATGTCTATTATGTTTGATCATGAGCCGTTCTAAGCTTCGTATAGTGGCCTCAGTTTCAGAAGAAACTAATGACAAAAACTTTGCAACTTGAATATTTTTCTTATGCTTGGTCCTCAAACTAAGCTTTGAGTTAGGATGAGCTATCTTTAGACTTGTTATATGAAAATTACAACCATATATATATATATATATATATATATATATATATATATATATAGGTTTCTTTTTAACACTCATAAATAAGGTGACAGCCAATTTAACCAATAATCTTAATATTGCTGATAGAATGGGGGATGTCCATGCTAAAGATTCCTACATTTTGTTTAAAGATCATAAACCCAACTTCTTGAATAACACTTAATCTAGGCTAATAAATCCCACTAAATCAAAGTTAGGTATAATCTGTAAAAATATAATTAAGAAAATTACGTATAAACTTTTGATCACTACTGGGGCCAGTCTTTGAAATGATTCTTCTGATACCATTAAATGGTTACTTAATATGAGTGGTAAAAAGAAAACTACCTTCATTAAATTTGATATTGATTTCTCTTGGTGGATTGCATGAACTTTGCAAAAAACTACATGGAGATAACTGATGATAAAATTAATATCATATTTATTGCCAGGAAATCACTCTTGACACTTAATAATTCCACCTGGCAATTTGTTAATATAAGATTTAAAAATATTAATTCTGTAATTATCTCTGTTTAATATAAATATATAATTATTTCTCTTAATTTTGAATTAATAGTAATTTCTTAATATAAGATTTTAAAATATTTTCCCTATTTTTCAAGTAATAGGTTAATATTCTAATATAATTCAGGTCACGACCACATTTTATATATCCTCCCACTAATTCCCATATCTAGAAATACTACCCTCTCTAACCTTTTGTTTCTCATTTCTTCCTCTCCCTATCATGTTTCTTCCTATTTCTTCTGCTCTTTCTTTTTACCAGTTTTCTTTCTTTCTTTGCCTCTATCTGGTTTTTAAATTTGTTAAGCCAGTTTCATTTTATTTTTTTTGTTCACATGACCAGTTTGAGGATCCTTGCAAATTATCTTAATTTGCAGGGTGATGTGATCATAACTGATATGTATTCTTAATTCCTATTGTATGTAATATATATATATATATATATATTTATTACATTCAAACATACATTTTACCACTACAAAAATGCATATTTGTTTCAATGCCTAATTCAGGCATCTCATTAGGTGGTATGTATGTTCAAATGTAATAACTCATAATAAATAACTTGTATATATTTTAATTGACACCATGTGAGAATCACAAATTACATAAGAATCACCAATAAACTGGAGCGTCCTGGTTAAGACGATAAACTACATCCAACAGCAAGGCCTCTCTCTGATCAGGAGGTTTTGAGGAGCATGGAACCACCTCTTAATTGCTGGTATTCCTAGGTCCAGGGTGGTAGCACCTGTTAGGGTCCCAGCTATGGGCAAATAGTTAACTATTACCAGCAATACTTTTTTTGAAAAAAATTATTACCAGCAATACAATTTTGAAGGAAAAATATTACCAGAAACAGATTTTTGACAAAACAAAATATTAACAGCAATAAAAAAAGTTGTGTGCATTAAATAACCCATTGAGGTTGACATGCCGTAAAATAAAATAAAACAAACCAATAAACTGGTTCTGCCATCTTAGACTTTGATTATTGTTATTAACATTGCTCTAAATTCATTTTAAGTAACACCATGTGAATCTACTCATCAAATTACATAAGAATGAAAACAGCAATAAACTGGTAATGTATAAAATGCACATATTCTGCAATCTTTAGGCTTCAATTATTATAATTTATATTGCTGAAAATGAATTTTAATTGACACCATTTTAGAATAAAAAAATTACATAAAAACAGCAATAAACTGGAAATGTATAAAATATTCTCCTATACAATTTTTTTACTCAATGTTGGAAGATATAAAGTAAAATAAAAATATCAAATTTGGTTGTTTTTCATTACACCTCAATAATTCTTTAAGGTAAACATTCTTTTTATATTGCATTATTTTGAATAGTAATGATTTTACCAACATAGCATTTGCTTATTCATTTTGTATGTATGTATATTTCATGTATATTGTTTCTTATGCACATTATTTCTATACATTTATATTGTAGATACATATATGCAATATTCTGTGTATATGTTAGAAACAACAGAGATGAGAATATAAATCCTATTAAATTCTCGGGACCAAATTTCCCCATACATTTAAAAAAAAAATACTTTTTAATTAATTTGCATCTTAATCATATATGTCCAACAGCAAGGCCTCTGATCAGGAGATTTTGAGGAGCGTGGAACCACCTCTTAATTGCTGGTGTTCCCAGGTCCACCCTGACCCGGGGTGATTAGCACCTGTTAGGGTCCCAGGTATGGGCAAATAGTTAACCCCAAAACTGAGGTAAAAAGCATTATTAAAGTATAAAAATAGGTTTTAATACCAGAAATACTTTGTAAAAAGTTATTACCAGAAATTAATTTAAAAAAAAAAAATAACTATTACCAGCAATACGTTTTTTAAATAAAAAAATATTACCAGCAATACATGTGATTGTACTCAAAAATATGAGTAATTGAAAAATGGTTCAAATATATATGTATAGATACACACCTTTTTTACCAAACTATCGCTATGTATCTATTTCAAAAATTCTGTTGGCATTAAATGACCCACTGAGGTTGATATGCCATAAAACAAAACAACCAATCAATATATATATATATATATATATATATATATATATATTGCAGGCTCACACATTCACAGTAATTGTTGCATAATAACTTTCCACTTCCTCATTTATGCTGGCAAAATCAATTTATCTCAATAACATTTTGGCATGTATTATCTTCTGTAGAATTTAAATTGTTAATCAGGGTGGCCATAGAGAAAATAGCTTATATTGACCAGCTTTTAAAAATCCAAATTCAGATTTAGTGATATATTTCATTTTTTAAATTGACAGGTTTTATTGATAACATTCAAATATTGACCAACAACTATGCCAAATGTTTTGTTGAATAATTTTAATTTAATTTTGAATTTTAATATTATAAAACTTTAGATAGAAATGGGTACTCACAGTTGCAAATACACATTATAGTACAATTGTGTTCTATTTGTGATGTCACCCCAGCCTCTCTGCCCCTGTCTATCCTGTGACAACCGATGTGACTTAGTATTGGTTGCGGCACCAAATGTGATGTTCTAACCCTTGGCTGATTTGGATGGGAATCTGATTAGATTCGGTATCAGCTTTGTCGTTCCCAGCTCGCCTCCAACGTCTGGTTACCGAAGTAACTGCTTTGATTTCTAGTCTAACCTACCCACGTTGTGATTTGATCTCGGGTAGACGAAATCAATCAGTCGCGGGGCTGTAATGCAGGCCGAATTCGAGCAAAGGTGATATCGCACAAGTATATGTAAAAGAAAATAAAGTAACAACTCGAAAGGTTCAAATATGTTATTTTTATATCTGGTTACTGAATACAGGACTGCGTCTTTCTCCCAAACTGCTTCTATGGATATGTGACACTTTGTGTTTGTTAGGCAAGTCTTAATATCTTAAGTCAATAACTGGTTTTTGGTATCTTCAGGCGATATTCATAAAACTTGTTTTGGTGGTGTGAGTCTAAGTCGTTCTTCAAAAATAAATTGTTCTGCGAGGCTGGTCTCCGAGCTCACAGCTCAACTGTGTCTGCCCACGTCTCCCCAACTGCCGCTGTCTGCTCCATTTATATGGACGCCAACCAAAACCGGGTGGCGGCCTGTCGTTGTTTGGGTTCCTCGATAATTCCAAATCCACAATAAGTATTTTCTTTGTTTTCGGACAGGAAAATTTATCACTTTCCATTTTTGGAAGTCCTTCTTCCTTTCCCATATTGGTATCTCACACCAATCCCCTCAGAGGGCGTCAACAGGTTTCCCTTCTTTCTCATAGTGGTATCTCACACCAATCCCCTCAGAGGCATCAACAGGCCTCCCCTCCTTCTCATATGTTTACCTTCGCCCACCGCTCACGCCACCACTCAGCCAATGAACGCTCGGCAGCGTGGGCGCAGCTAGTCTGGCTTCAGCTTACTATTATCGCTCAAAGAAAAAAAATTATCTTCTTTATTTCTTTTCCTCGACCAGACCCCTACAACTCGTAGTGTGGTCCTTAATCTCTATCTTAACTGAATGTCATCTGGAATTTATCAACGAGATTTTTGCCAAGCGTTAAATGAGTGGTCAACTGAATGTCTTTGCACCCTGTCGCCAACAATCTGTCTCGGTAACAAACTTTTATCATGTCCAGGCCTGGACATAAAACAGGTGTCTCTTCCCAAAACCAAATGATATCTCTGAAAGATAGTTAATGATTTATTCTTTCCCTTTTTCTCTTTTCCCTTGCTTTTTCTTTGGTCGCAGCTGATCTTTTTTCTCAGTCGATCCTCGACCTGATTACGATTATCTTCCAGCATTTCGCCCTGCAAGCCACTTGACCAATTTGAAATTTTCATTATTGCCATGGGCAGATTGCTATCTTTTATTTGTCGCATCATAGCATAAATTAATTCTGGCAGATCCAAGATCTTACGAATTTCCTATCTTCCGCGAAAAAAATACTTTTTTTCGCAAATGAAAATAAAATCTTTACCACTTTTCTTTGTTAAAAAAAAATAACATCGCTCAGTATGTCTTTCATGATAGCTTC